GACATTGTTAAACTTTTTTATCTTTCTCCAGTTTTCCCACCATCTACTTCTCTCCAGCCAACCAGAAGCTAAATCCAAAGAAATATGAAGTAAGTGCATTGTCCTTTCTCCCCACAAATAAAACACACACGTGCACGTGTTTGTACATATCCAGTTCTTTTACTGGGTTTATTTAACTAGAAACTCCACTCTCCTGGTCAATACACATGGTTGAGAATGTGCTTTGGCACAAATTAGGGTTCATTAAAAAGGTAAATTTTCAGAGTAATCTTTCTGTTTTCAGGGTGGCCGTGAATTGAATGATTTTATTAGCTATCTAAAGCGAGAAGCTACAAATCCCCCTGTAATTCAAGAAGAAAAACCCAAGAAGAAGAAGAAGGCACAGGAGGATCTTTAAAGAAGCAGCCAAACATACCACTTTGTGAAAGGACTCTTCCAGCACAGATGGAAGACCATTGGGGAGGACTAAGACCCAAATGGGATTATTACCTCTCAGGGCTGAGAGGACAGAATGGATATAATCTGAATCCTGTTCAGTTTTTCTCTAAACTATTTCTTAGCTGCACTGTTTATGAAAATACCAGAACCAATTTATGTTTGTGGGTTTGGGGAAAATTATCTGTGTTGGGGAAAATGTTGGGGGGGTAAGTTGGGGGGTTATTTTCTAATTTTTTTTGTACATTTGGAACAGTAACAATAAATGAGCCCCCTTTAAATTGTCTTTTTTCCCTGTGGGATAGACACTGTCTAATAGAACTTTCTGCAATGATGGGAATATTCTATAATATATACTGCCCAGTACATCTGTCTATGGAACATCTGAAATGTGGCCAAAGTCTACAGTTATGCTATCCAGAACATGCCCAATCTGGTCTGAAATGCGGGTAAGAACTGTTTTGTTTTGAGACAGAGTCTTATTCTTTGCCCAGGTTATAGTGCCATGGTATCAGCCTATCTCACAGCAACCTCAAATTACTGGGCTCAAGCAGTCTTCCTGCCTTAGCCTCCTGAGTACCAAGGACTACCAGTTGCCCACCATGAAACTCAGCTAATTTTTTTTTTCTATTTTTAGCACTAATGGGATCTCACTCTTGCTCATGCTGGTCTCAAACTCCTGAACTCAAGGGATCCTCCTGCTTTATCCTCCCAGAGTGCTGGGATTATAAGCATGAGCTGCTCTCCCTGGTCTACATTAATGAAAATTAAAATATATAATTCTTAGGCTAGGCACAGTGGCTCACACCTGTAATTTCAGCACTCTGGGAGGCTGAGGCAGGAGGATCCCTTGAGCTCAGGAGTTTCAGACCAACCTGAGTCAGCCCCTAGGCCAAGTGTGGTGGCTCATGCCTGTAATCTATCACTGTGGAAGGCTGAGGCAGGTGGATCATCTGAGCTCAGAAGTTCAAGACCAGCATGATCAAGAGTAAGACCCCATCTATAAAAAATAGCTGGATATTGTGGCAGGTACCTGTAGTCCCAGCTAGTTGGGAGACTAAGGCAAGAGGATTGCTTGAGCCCAAGAGTTTGAGGTTGCTATGAGCTATGATGCCACAGCACTCTACTGAGGGTAACAAAGTAAAACTTGGTCTCAAAAAAAAGGCCAGGCCCAGTGGCTCAACGCCTGTAATCCTAGCACTACTGGGAGGCCAAGGTGGATGGATTGTCTAAGCTCAGGAGGTCGAGACCAGCCTGAGCAAAAGTGAGATCCCATCTCTTAAAAAATAGCCATGTGTTGTGGTAGGCAACTGTAGTTCCAGCTATTTGGGAGGCTAGGTAGGCAACTGTAGTTCCAGCTATTTGGGAGGCTAAGGCAAGAGGATTGCTTGTGCCCAAGAGTTTAAGGTTGCTATGAGCTAAGATGTCACGGTACTCTACCTAGGGCGACAAAGTGAGACTCTGTAAAAGAAAATGAGACACTGGGTGGCACCTATGTCTCAGTGGGTGGGGCACTGGCCCCATATACTGAGGGTGGTAGGTTCAAACCCAGCCCTGGCCAAACTGCAACAAAAAAATAGGCAGGCGCCTGTAGTCCCACCTACTCGGGAGGCTGAGGCAAGAGAATTGCCTAAGCCATGGAGTTGGAGGTTGCTGTGAGCTGTGACGCCACAGCACTCTACCAACGGTGATAAAGTGAGACTCTCTCTTTAAAGAAAAAAAAAAAAAAATGAGACCCTGCGTCTACTAAAAACAGAAAACAGCCAGGCATGGTGGCACTGGACTATATAGTCTTGCTACCCAGGAGGCTGAGACAAAAGGATTGCTTTAACCTAAGAGCTTGAGGTTGCTGTGAGCTATGATGATGCTATAGCATTCCAGCCCGGGCAACAGAGTAAGACAATTTATTGTGTCTCAAAAGTAAATACGTAAATAATTTTCATTAAATAGCCAAATAGTGGCTACCATACTAGTCACACAGTCTGAGACTTACTAACTGGTTCCATAATATTTCCAAATTTCTCATCGCTTTATCTTGTTACATGTTAATTGCCCAGGCCCTAGCTTAGTAATTAGAATATGTAAGGGGGCCTTTTTTTTTTTTTTTTTT